GCAATCCATATAATGCTTTTCTTATCAATAAGAATACTCCGTGGGCACGAAGCCCGTCAGGTAAAAACGCAACTATTGCTATTGGAAGTGTAGCGTTGGTATATGCTGCAACAATGTCATACTGACATGTTTTATACTCATAAACAGCTGAAATTGCCATTGCTGCTCTGAAAACTTGCGCTGCTAAGGTTGTTGCGTACGTCTCTTCATTAGTCTTCTGTAAATCTCCTCTGGCTACAAGTCTTGCTTTAAACGAAAATAAATAGCCATCTGCATCGAATTTATAGGTATATACCCACATTAATGGCAAAGGTTTCTTATCTAACTCTAAAGTTCCGTCTGCTTTCATATTCTTTATTTCTTCCTCACTAACTTTCTGGTACAATTTATTCTCAAATAGTGTATTGAATTCCTTCATTTCAGCTGCCTTAAATCCAGTTGAATATTCATGCCTGAGCACTTCTTGATGGTTTTTTGGAGGTGGCGGCAAGTTTTTTCGATGTATTTTTCTAGACTCGACAACTCTCTTTCCAGCTGCAAATGCATTGTGAAACACAGTCAATTTACTTGCTTACGCTTTCTTTTTCCCTGAATAATATTACTCTCACTTATGTCACTACTGATCTTATCCTGGGGCTCGACTTTCTTCACAAAATCATGCAAAATTGTCGATTTAATTAGTTCCGGAATTTTATCTAACTTAATCTTTACTGACTCTAACTTTGCGTTTTTTTCGGGGCCGAGTGGCACATCGCGAATAATACTATCGTTTTCTGACTCTATTTCCAAATTTATATCTTTCCATTCTGGCATTTCAATTGCTTTTATAAAAGCCTTTCTCAAAAGGTGAAGTTATATTACCCTAACTCGGTATATATAAATCTAAAATGTACAAAAGTTACATATATTCCAAGTGTAGAGTGTTCCCCCATAAATCAACCCATTTAGCGTCGCTCGCTTATTAGGGCTAACATAGGACATGCAAGGATTAAGGTTTACACAATTATTATTTCCCTTGCACTTTTACACGCCCCCTAAACCTGAATCCGCTAATTAATCAATCTACCATTCCAAGTCTTTCAACAAACTCGTTAAATGCTGCATTGTTAAGCGGTTTAGTCAAGCCGTCCGCTGGGTTCAATTTTGACTCCACTTTCCTTATGGTAATGTTCTTGTCGCGAACTTCCTGTGTGGCGTAGTTGTACTCTACACGAACATGTCTTCGGCCAGAGCTGATTCCTGTACTGTTAGCCCATTTGATTGCTCCGTTGTTGTCTTCAAGGACAGGGATGGGTCCGGATGGCATTTGCCCCAGTTCTTTCAGGAATGTCCTTATCCAAGCGCAATCTTTTGTTGCTTCGAAGATGGCTGCATACTCGGCTTCGCAAGTCAGTGTAGTTACTGTTGTCTGTAGTTTTGACCTCCAAATGACTGGGCTTCCTCCCATAAATATAACATAGCCTGTTGTTGATTTAGATGATTCAAAGTCATCTGCAAAGCTAGCGTCCACAGCACAATGCAATCCATATTTCCCGAATTCATTCACGTGTCTGTGATCTTTGGTATACTCCAAGCCCTTGTTTGCACTACCAGACAAATATTGGGCTACTCTCAACGCATGCTTGTGGTGATGGGGAGAAGGATTACACATGTATCTCGCTAATTGAGACATAGCTTGTGAAGTGTCGCATCGGGTCATGCATGCCGAAAAGTTGTATTTTCCTATTAACCTCTGGTAATTATAAAGCTCTGTGCTCGAGGCTTTTCCGTTATATTTCTTCATGTCTAGCCTACTAGCAACTGACATAGGTGTTGGTGCGGGCCGTTGACTCTGTAATTCCAGTTCTATCAATGACCTGTCGATGTATTGTTTTTGGTCTAACCTTACACTCCCTGTGGGTGATGATCTTTGGACTCTGACTCCTAAAAACCATGAAGCTTCTCCCAAGTCATTCAGTGGCACTGATTTATTCAAGGATTTTGTTAATGCACTGATTTTACTTTTATCAGGCCCTATTAATAGAAAGTCGTCAACGTACGACGCTACTATTACTCCACTATCTTTATTAAAGTAAATTGCGTCGTCGGCTGCCAACGCTTTAAACCCTCGAGTATGCATTAATGATTTAACTTTATCTTGCCAACACGCTCCGGATTGTTTTAATCCGTACAGTGGCCTTTGTAGTTGGATTATACTTTCCTCTGTATATCCTGATGCCTTACTTAGATCTGGGTTTGAATTAAAAAATTCTTTGAGGTAAGGAAACTGTCGCATATAAATGACTTCCTTTAAGTCTCCTGCTAAGTAAGCTGATATAAAGTCAGCTTGCAGAATGTGCCATTCATTTAAGGCTGCCAATGCCATCAATACTCTCCAACTAGCTGATCTAGCCGTAGAAGCTGTTGTTTCATTGAAATCAATACCCTTCTTTTGTAAAAATCCTCTTGCTACAACTCTAGCCTTAAATTTGTCCAGTTCCATATTTGATTTGTACTTTTTCTTAAGCATCCATTTCGCTGAGATAATTTGGCCATTCTGTTTGGCTGAATTTTTTGGAACAAACTGAAATGTTTTCCTATCCACACACCCCTTTATTTCAGTAAAGATAGCCTTTAGCCACTCGTTTTTCTCGGAGCTACTCATTGCTTCCTGCAGGTTAGGTTCATCTGGTGATACGATTTGTTTAGCGACAGATGAAGAGTTAGCTAATAGCCTAAACATGTCGTCTCCATCTCCATGTAGGTTATGGAGTTGCCTCTTGATTGATTTTTCTATGAGGCAATGGGCACTTTGTCCAATTTCTTCCTCGTGATCTGAGTCCTCCTCTGTTGGGCGTTCATCTTCGTTGTTTATGCTTGGGCTCATGTTCTTGTTCCTTGTTTGACTTTCGAACAATGGTGCTTTGTCAAAAGGTCTTCTAATTGTCTTCTTTGGCCGACCTGGTCCTTTAGGTTCATGTGGCGGTGATACACTTCGTGTCCTATTGTAGTCCTCTTCTCTGGCATAGTTGGTTTTCCTAGCTCTCAAACGACGTTGGACGCTGGTTGGCAATGACCTCACTACTTCTTGGGGTTCTGTTGGCCAACCTAAATTTTTACCAACGTTCTCGTATGCTAAAACATTTGGTGAGACTAAGAATCTCCCACCGCCCAATATCCATACAAGTTTGTTTGTACGTCCCTTGTATCCGAGAAACACACTCCTTGCACCCCTGGGGTCTAGCTTTTCTCCTGCAATTCTGCGCGACTTCTCTACATGTATTATGCATCTTGATCCGGGAATTAAGAGGTGACTGATGTCTGGCTTAATCGGCCTGCCTTTCATAGCTGACCAGAATACTTCATATGGGGTCTTGTGCTGATCGACTGGAGATGGAGATGTCATATTGAGTGTATAGCATGTTGTCTCCATTATTTTGTCCCAAAATACCGATGGTATTTTTGTTTGAATTGTGCAGCATCGGGCAGCGTCCTGTATGAACCTAATTCCTCTCTCTGACACTCCGTTCTGATGCTGATTGTCTGGGGCGGACACAATGATATCTATACCTTGGTCTGCAGCGAATTCCTCAAATCTCGACATGCCCCAATCTCTGCCTCCGTCAATTGTAATCCACCTGACTCTTCTCCCTTCAAGCTGCAGTTCAGCGTTAATATTTCTCAGGATGTTCATCAACTCAACTGCCGCATCCTTTTTGGTCTTCAGTGGCTTGAGGAAACGGTATCTAGATAGATCATCCGTCGTTAAACAGTAGTTACTATTGCCATCCATGGTTTTAGGGTTGCTCGATCCCAAGTCACAGTGCCATCCTTCTCCGACGTATTCAGCTCGTTGTCGTCTCTCATTGGTAGTGTATTTTACAGATTTACCTAGATCACAAGCCTCACATGGTATATTGATAACATCACTCGGGGTTAGGTTTATGCCAGTAGTATTTTTAATTGTCCACCGCAACCTATCTGCGCTTGGGTGGCATAATCTTCGATGCCACAAGGTTAGGTTTCTAATGGTTTCATCAGAGGGAATTTTTGAATTTTTACTGTTGTGTTCTTTGTCTAATTGGCACGGGAATCCTGATTTGATATGTTTCATTGGTTCATCTTCTCCAGAAAGCCAGAGAAAAAATCCTCGTTTATTGACGTTTATTAAAGATATAATACTTCCATTACTGTCAACAAGCTTTTCACCTTGTAATGAGCATCCACTTCTGTAAAACAATTCGCCGCGTATAATGTTTACGGGAAGATTCTTAACATAAAAGACATTCTTTAATCTGAGCCTTCTCGCTTTATTTTTTGAATTTCTGACCTTGAGGCATACTTTGCCTATTTTCTCTGGATAAATAACTCCACTGCCTGTCCTTATTGCCACCTCCCGTGGTCTTAAGTTCCTTACAGACTCCTTGACAAAATTCTTTAGGTTGTTAGTGGCATTAATATCAGCCCCTGTATCAAACAGCCACCTCTTTCTAATTAAAGAGTTAATTGATGCGTTATTCAGTTGATGGGCAAAGTTTAAACTCACTCCATAGCATGAGCTATCATCATTACTTGAGTGTGGCGTCTCTCCAATCTCTGGGTTGTTTACTATCCCATTTTCTTCCATCCACTCATTGTACCAATCATCACCAACATTATACTCGATCATCTTTTCTTTACCCTTTGTTGAAATTTGATTTAAAGGACGATCATGATCTGACTTTCGAGCCGGGCACTCTCTTGCATAGTGATTGCCCCTACAGATGTGACATCAATGAGGACCTTGAGTTGTTCCCCTCTTGCTATGGCAATTATTTGCATAATGACCAGTTTTTCCACAAATGTAACATACAACTTGGTTCTTACTCTCAGGGTTCTTGTCACCCTGATTTATTTTAGGTTTAAAGGCCAGCTTGCCTCTATTTTCAATTTGACCTAGCCGAATATTGGCTTTATCTCCCCTTTTGTTGTCAAAGTTGTTGTTTACCCGAAAGTCTCTGTTGGGATAATATTTGTTTGTGTTATGAAAAGCCTTGAGACTGTGGTTGGAGATGAAATTGTTGATCAGTTCTTCCAACGACCATTGTTTGGTTTGAGGTATGTGAGGCCTCATAATGCCATCTGTGGGCCCTTTTCTCGACCGCACGTTTGAATATAAGTATTGTGATATTGTCAGCTAACTCCTGACCAGTTGATTTAAAGTCTCTAACGCAGACTCTAAATTTTGTCACGAAATCAATGGCGTTACCTCCGTCGTAAGCCAGCTCTATTAGGTCATTGAAAAAGTTTTCAGCCTGTATTGTGCCAGACTGTCGATATGTCTTGTTGAGTAATTTCATCATATCCAATCCGCTGCTTAAATCTTCAATGATTCTTCTTGGGTTATCGGTCACTGATCTCCTGATCATTGATCCGAAATTTGCTTTATCTAGGTTTGTTAATTTGATCCCTTTAACATACCCTATCGACTGCAAAGCGAACATCACGTCATTTTTATAAACTCCCCAATCCTGGGAGCCGCGTAAGAAGTGGTCCTTGTGTGGTTTCCACTGTAATTGATCCCACCTGAGATTCATTTCTGCTGTGGTTACTTGTAATGTCCTTTGAGGAGGACTCCACCAATCGTCGTCGCTGTCGGACTGTTCGCTCCTTTTCGCCGAAGAACTAGACTCGTTATTGACATTCTTCCTTCTCACATTGGATTTCCTATTGGACCTTGACTCGTCCATCTTGTAATTGCTGGGCCTTGTCTTGCCCGAAATTCTTGCGACCAATTGACCAGACTCAAGATTGTTGTCTTTCTGTTGTGCAATAATGTCGCAATCAGCTTTAGACAGTTTTCCTGACATTTTCGTTGTGTGAAGAAAGTAAAGGGGTTCTTTTGATCGTAAAAAGATAATGCTACCATATAAAAGCCTTTCTCAAAAGGTGAAGTTATATTACCCTAACTCGGTATATATAAATCTAAAATGTACAAAAGTTACACATATTCCAAGTGTAGAGTGTTCCCCCATAAATCAACCCATTTAGCGTCGCTCGCTTATTAGGGCTAACATAGGACATGCAAGGATTAAGGTTTACACAATTATTATTTCCCTTGCACTTTTACAGCTTTGATTAAATTCTCGGCAGATTCCCACACTACTGAACCTATGTCCAAATCCATAGGATCGTAAAATTTTTTGTTGGAATAGCATCTCTAGCTTGGTTTACTTGGAGTTGGTGGTTCTTGGTTTACATGCAAACAATTTCCTTCGTTGTGGATTTCGTCATTTGGATAATACTTTATCCGAGCACAACATAGTTAATATCTTGTAGCATCATTGTAAACTAGATAACAAATGAACCATGAATGCGCATTTCTTCTGAATGATAGTTCGAAATACTTAAACAAGTACTCTCATAACTTTAAATGAACTAATAGACTTTTAGTGTATGATCTTTGTCATACCGACATTTTTCTTCATTGAAAGTAACGTCTCTTGTTCTTATCACTTTATTCATACTTGTCAAACCAGTATCAGAACCCGGTGGAATTAGTATTCCTGAATTAATGTTTCGTGATTCATGTAAATTCCATTCTTCTAACATGATCGTAACATTATTGTCAGAATAATATGCCAAGCTGGTACCTGACATAATTTGTGATTGCCTCAGGAAAACCTTGGCGTTTTGGGGAATTTTCAGCTAGAAAATGCTTGGCGTCCGTGTAACAGACGTGGTGGACTGGTATTGAGTCGGTTTAGGATTACATCTTGGCTACAACATGTTTGGATTGTATCCTGTGATGTAAGTAAGCTATTTCTAGATATTATCATCTTACGTCAGGTAGTAGATATGTGTAGATATATAAGCTGAGAGAAAGAGGAAGGAAGACAGACAGACAGACAATTACATCTTTTTATTTCACTTCAATTAAAAGCTCCTGTGCGAGCTATTCTTCCAGACACCTCTAGTCTCAATCATTACAGCTTCCGAACCAGCTAAAAAGGTTCGACATTACTCGTTATCCATATCTTAAATATGTTAGTGAAATCATATCCTACAAGATGCCCTATATATGCTCTTGGATTTAACTTTTTCGACTTTGGGATGCGCTTATCTAGTGCATACGCACGACACCCAAAGATACGCAAATAGGAATAGCTCAGTTTAACTTTATGGATTAATTCAAACGGCGTTTTCCAATGTAGCTGTATAATCTGGGTTCTATTTGCAATATAGCCTGCGTATTTCACGGTTTCGGGCCAAAGATTTGTTGGTAATGAGGCCTCTAAGCTTGTTGCCCTAGCTTTGATTATTACCCCTCCGGAACGTTCAGCAGCGCCAGTTTGTTCTTGAGTGTCTGCAGCTGAAATTTGGCATATAATTCCACATTCAATTACCAGACTCTTATATTCTTGTATAAGTGATGTTTCGCCATCCAAACAAAGTGCACGCACTTCACAATTCCACTGTGTCTTAATAATTTGAAGTACAGTCTTTATGGTGAGTTTGAATTCTATTTTTGACCTGCAAGTGAAGATGAAATTAAAATGTGTATCAGGACAGTAAAAATGACTGACATACTTGTCACCATTGTGAGCTTCCTCCATGATTATAGCATCCCAACAAAGAGTATGGAAAGGAATCCCAGTACGTGGAATTTCAGATCCTTCCTTTCACGATATTATTCTCCTTGACTTGGCTAAAGAACATGATGTGCATTTTGTGCTTTCTATACCAAGATCAGATTCGTCTATATTTATGTTATGAGCTGGGCCATTGATGTGAGACAAAACTTCTGAGTTAGCATGCAATAGTATTTTATGAAGGTTAGACTTAGTGTTGGAAATGAAGACACGGAGTGTTGTGGACTTATGGGCCCTCCATTTCGTCTAGGTTCCCGACACGATCTTGTGTGTATGTAAGAGGTTGGAATAGGTAATATGGTAGCGCTTCAGGCTACCTATTGGACATATGAGCGGCTGTATGGCGTGGGCGCAAGGAGGTTATTGGGGTTTTTCTATGCCTTGATGGCGCCACACTCGTTTATGCTGTGGCTTAGGCTCTGTGTCGCTTACACTTGTTCTTGTAGCGCACACTTCCCACACTTTTAGCCGTAATCCGAACATGACACTCTTTCAGTCAACTTCTACTTTATTTCCATGAATATTGCGCCCATTACATTGCGCGATATTTCCAACACTTAGTTATAGTCCGTAAAGCTGGATTATGACTCAATTTGGCCATTAGGGCGGTGCCATGGAAATTTGTGCTCTGCGGGTTATTGAAAAGAATATGTCCCCCATTTTAGTATAACCTGCAAGCGGTCGACTGATCTTCGCATTCTAGCTTGTTAGGAGTCCCACTATTCCAGTGAAAACCAGCTTGGTTTAACAACTGCATTGAAACTATATTAGTAAAAAACCCATGAGCTAAGCCAACATTATTAAGAGTGATATGTTTTTTTCCAGAAGGAGTATCAACTTCAACTTTGACTGTCCCATATGCTTCGATTGCAATTGCAGAGTTTCCGGCTTGTATCAGTTCACCTTTGCCTGCTAATCTGAATATTTTAAATTTCCATTTCTTCGCATCATTACAAACGTGGATATCAGATCCTCCATCTAAGATCCAAGCATCTTTACGAAGATTTTGGGAATCTGTCGAAGCGAGTGTTGCAAAGTTTAAATAGTCATTTTCATAAAAATTTCGAAGCTTCTCTGTTTCATGTATTTTGGTGATAGCATTTGATGACTGCTCAATATTCTGCTTTGGGCTCATATTTGTATTTTCAATCCCTTTTGATTCTCCGTCTTATTTGAATCTCTTTGAGACTAGTAATTTAATTTTCTCTCTTCGAGAATCCACAAGTGCTTGGTTTATTTTATGATATGTCAGATCATTTCCGAGCCATCCAAACGGCCTTGTGTCGGGATTTAAATAGTAACAATCCTTAAATAAATGGGGTTTCCCACAGAGGCATGCTTTTAAGTCCTTTTTTGGCTCGGTATGAGAGGTTGCAAATGATGCGGGGACCATGTTGTGACAGGACAACTTATGTCTATTGTGATAATTTCTAAAATCTTCAATAACATCTTCGAGCTCAAGTATTTTCACTGAGCTATTAATAGCCCGCTGCTTTACATTCTCGTCTATCCTCAATTCTAAGTTAATTGCATAAGATTGATCAATGCTTTCTAGTGCGAGTGCAAAATCATATAAATGTCGCTCTTCCATTACATCTGGAAGCTTAATGGGCAATGCAACACCGTAAATTCTTTCCCACTCGTACAAATATCTCTCAATTGTCTGATTTTTATCATATTTTTTAATGGCGTTTTAGGATCTAATTACCTCCAACTTAGTATAACGATCTGTTGGTGCAAGTCTTTTTTGAAGAGCTCTTAGCAGGGCCCAGGTTGAGGCAACATTGCGTGTCCAAAGCTCATTATCAAATTGGATGCTTCCCATAATATAACTGTCTATTTCCCGAATGGATTTATGGATTTGATGAATTTGGTTCACTTTTACAGAGTGACATTTTTCTAAATACTGAAGCCTTGCAAATTCATTCGAGTCAAGTGTTGAAATGTGATATATCTTGGAATGCCAAGAATAACTTATTATTAAGTCCGGCTAATTTGACTATCAAATTTCCCATTCTATATCACTGTTATCAATTCATCATTCACCGAAAGTTTAATGGGCATTAGCGTTTATTTCACACTAGCATTCCAGCGGATGACTATGTCTCAAATGCAGGTTATAGTTTTCTCGTATCTATTACCAATACACATGTATTTAGCTTTATATTCCTGGCCCATATATGTGTATGTACATAGATCTACATCTGCATGGATCATAACTTACGATCCATGGAGAATGATAAATACTGGTCAAAAACCACAGTTGATAAGAAATGCGAATACGCAACCTCACTCTTATCATCTCGGTTTTACTCTGAACCATACATCTAAATACAATTGTTTCCACTCGGATCTTCCTCTCATAACCTCATACGAGACTTTGATATATTAACTAGGCTATATGGGAGCAGGACAATGGATACTCTTGGGGAAGTAATGCTCACAGTAGGTCTCTATTATCGCTGTCGCGTGTGTTCTCGTGATATGTAAGACTTGACTCTATATTCTCGTATAAAGGAAACTTAGTTACAATGAATGGATGAAGATTGAGACCTCCTTATATCTTGCTTGTCACGGATCAAGGAACAGGCGCTGGTGCAACTATGTGGTTGATAGTATGTAAATTATCATTCTGAAGAGAAAACTACTTCAGTCTCTATCTATACATATATATATACATTGTCTATGTGGTTGAGGTACAGTCCCTCCCTCTCGGTTCCAATGGGATTCTTCACATGTGTTGTAGCTGTATGGTCCAATACTGCTGCCCTGCCAAACTAGATGCCGATGCCTTGATATTCTGTTGAGTGGCATCATATATCCACGCATTGATGTCGATCAATCGTGCGCTACCAATATCAGGCTAGGCTCATGTTGGCCAACATGCGCTACAGGAACCAATCGGCTTACCAGCCGTTACATTGCTCCAGACTTACTGTGTTGTTCACAGCCTAATGCTAGAACATTCCCTTATGATATCATTTCTCTCCTACGAGAAATGACCAGCTCGTTCTCTCTCAGTCTATCAGTCTCCCACTGATTCCATTATCTCTATTCCATCGAGTTCTAGTTTGGTCCAGTATACCCACACATGCATTACTGTGTGAACTGGCTCACAACATGTTATGTACAAGGGTCGAGTTGAGACTTTTCCTTATAAGGAATGGCGTTTAGCTAAAGGTAAAAATGTATTTATAGAATTCCTCCCGGCAGGGAGA